AATAGCTCCAGTAAAACTTATTGTTGTATATTCCACATTTTTTCATTCGCAATTATTTTGAGGTTTTTGCTTTTCAAACCGTCACAAATTTTTGGTGTGAGAAGTGGGATAGTTTTTATGGGAGCCTGGATAAATAGGATTTTTTGTGGTAACTCCGTCCCTAAGTGACTGAGTACCCACTATGTTATCGCGCGATGTAAGCAAGATAGATCGATGGTCTGCAACAACTCACCGTAGCCAGGCGTTCCTAACCGATGCAGCCTGACGTAATGCAAAACAGAATTACGTCATTTTCGATGGGTTCACAACAAAACAGCGGAACTTCCGACCGCTGTTCGGATGTTTTTACGATAACACAGCGGAAATGCCTCGTGCGAAGAAGTTTATACTTTATTCACTTATGAACGAATATAAAACATTTATTACCTAAACTCCATTCAAATAATAAGACCAGACAACATAGTAGGGGCGGGCATCTCGTTTATTCATGACAACTGAAAAGTATGCATTATACAAGTGGTCATATACAAATTATAAACGGCATTGTTTGACGACTCCAGTCAAAGAAGCTATCACTCATTGTGTTCCAAGGCTGGACGAGCTGATGGAGAACTAATACTCGTGAAAAAAAAAACAAAAAAACTAAGATTTGTGTTAACGATGAGATGCCTTCGAATGGCAATTCATTCATGACTCACACCTTAAATACTCTGCATATGGGATGGGATGGGTATTGCAAAACTTCGTTTACTTAGTCATTTATACTTAAGTGCTGACACGCGTCAATACCTCCCTGTGTACATTCCGTACCGCTAATAAATATATGTGTTGGGTTTTCAAAGTCTGGCTATGCTAGTTTGGCGGTGAGTATCTCGTTCTTTTATCGCGTTTTTGCTCTTTATCAATCACAGCTTTCATTCTACATTATCGGTAGCAATGAAAAGTGTTTGCTTAATTGTTTATCAGCTTTTAACTAGAGGGATTTTCCCGTATGGTCACCTATGACTTGCAAAATAATTTTTTATCAAATCCCTCAAAACGTGCATGTAGAACCGGCTTTTGAAGCCGAATCCAATCGTTTAAGTTTTATCTCGATCAGATAAATATTTAGGGAGCACGGGGCCAAAATATGAAAAATTACGTCACTTTCGGTTTCGAAGGTCGACTTAGTGCACCTCAAATAAATTAGCGAGATCAAAAGTACATATATAAGCAACTATTTAGAGCTGTTTGTGAACTCAGAAAGTTAAAAATGAATATTTTATCGATTTTTTAATTGTCCTTCATGATTTTAGTAGTTTTCAAGTGTATCCTACATAAACCTCTGTATCTCCACTGGTACATGTCCTAGCCCAAAGCCACTGCATTTGGAAATTTACCCAAAAAGGTATCTCTTTACCCATTGCCTCTTAGTAATCTTTTCTGGATTACCCATGTTCAATAACTTGTGTTAACTCCTCTATACAGCCCGAGATCCCCAAAAACTTGACAGTACTGAGACTATTTGAATTGACAACACAAATGAGCCTTCACATTATAAACCCTGCAAATTTGATCGAAAATTGATGCCATATTAAGTTGTAGTTTTTGCTTCTTTTAATTTTTTATTTTTACAAAACAGTTTTAAAATGTTATTTTGGGTAGATAGAAAATCTATGAAATCTGAGAAATAATTAATACAAACTAAACTTCGGTTCAGCTCACGAGTAGAAGGGAAACAATGAAATTACTTTAAAGCCAAAGTCATCAGCCTTGCAAATTGAGCTCAAGTTTTTTTTATGTATAACTGAGTTATAACGTACATGTACATGTAGTTTTMTTTGTAGGTTTTTGCTCTTTTCATGCTAAAACGGACTATTGAGTATTTTTTTAGGTTCAATATTAATTTAAGTATACTTACAGTGGCATTATTGATAAATCATTTACTTGTCTGTCCAATCCTCTCAAACATCTGCAAGGCCCATGACTTCAAGTGARTTAATGTGAATTGCTTTATCAAAAAGCTGTTATTGAAGCAATGACAAAAGTAATATTTTATTTTAGGTGTGATTGGATCTAGTAGTAGCGGATCTAGTAGTGTAACTTTTACTACAGGAATAAGAACTGCTGCAGTTGAGTTGATATAATATTGTTTTACCAAAAATTCTGATGTATATGGTATTTTAAAGCCTTACCACCAAATTATTGTTATTTTATTTTT